ATATTTATATAACACAGTTCTTATGTACAACTACTATATTTATATAACACAGTTCTTATGTACAACTACTACATTTATGCCTCAAATAGCATGTTTAAGCCTTCAAAGCTATCACACTTTTGAAGTAAATGTTTGAGGTAGTAGGTGTGTATATATATATATATAATATTGGAAATAATTATGAAGATACCGAATAACATGGGTATAAAATACAAATATTATACGATTGTTACTTGATGATGTATGAAAATTAACTGCACCAGAGTAGTCACGTGCTGATAGTTTACATTGTGAGTGGCTGTCATTCAACCAATCAAACAGTTTCACACTAACACAATACCTGTAAAAGTACGAGCACTCATACTCTTGAAGCAGCAGTGTGGCGAATGCATTCGTAGCTCCCAGAACAGAAATGACAAACGTATAGCAATCAAATGTTTGGCTGATCATGGCTACTCCGTACGACTGTGTCAAAATGTTATGTTTCAGTAGGAGCTGTAGGAAACTCTGAAGAAGATACGTGGGATTAGTACTGCTTATAACAGAAGAGGTCAAAGTTGGAAACTCCAAAAGTGAAATCCAATACACGACAACCCAATAGTGAACTTGCCATAACCCATGTGTAAATACCAGCGTGAATGTTACCCACATGACAGTAAGATACACATTAGCATGAAAGGCATCAATGGACATTTAGCTGCTCAAAAACCATTACTTAGAAAAGTTAACCAAATTAATGGGTTTCGGACTTCTAACAATGTGATGAGCAAAGCTAGAAGAAGGTTTTATTTACATATGAATCCAAAATCAAACTATTTGGATAGTTTGAAACAGAGGGGGGTAATGGTACCTCGGTCAACATACAACATCTACACCACAGCACGATGGGAAACCAGTACAGGCATTAGCTGCATCTCAACCAGTGGTGTTTGAGATGCATTCAAAATTGATGGCACCCTAACTACTGAGAAGTATATGTAATTCCATCAGGAATAATACCTGGTAGACAAGGGTGGAACTTCCAACAAGATAATGATCCCAAACCAGCAGAAAACGTGGGGAAATGATACCTGGAAGAGGCTAATAAAATACTCGAAACCATGTTTTCCTGCACAAAGTCATAATATGAATAATATTAAGGCGGTGTGGCTTTATATCGAAATTGAAACGTCAGAGTGCAACCAAACAGCTTGGCTGAATTGTAAAAAGTAATACGGGACATCTGGAACACTATTTCACAATCATACATTGATAAACTTATGGTAGCATGAAAATAAGGTTTTCTGCTCCATTGAATACTTGTGTATTATACAACTTACTCGCTTTTCTTTTATATGTTCCTTACTAATACATTATACTGATGGTAAATTGAAAATGTGTATTATACATCTTACTCGATTTTCTTTTATATGTTCCTTACTAATACATTATACTGATGGTAAATTGAAAATGTGTGTGCATTTACCTTTCTTTGTGACCTCTGTGCGTGTATCACCTATGCGTTTCCACAGTTGGATGTTTAATATTTTGATGATGTATAATAACATGAGTAGTAAGGGTACCTTTATATTGTACGAACGATTAATGTGTTACGGCTTAAAATAGTAGAAGGGGCAGTCCTCATCCCTATTTATAATATTCTATATACAACTACTGCAAATGTATTGATTAACATACTCAAGTAACGTGTGCATTAAACACACACTTTCTATTCACACAAATCTGTATGTCGATGTATCAATATTTTTGTATTTTATTTTATTAACTTCATAGTTTCTGTAGTGTAGAAACTTTAAACACTTTCTTTTCTGGCTATTGCATAGCAACATATTTGTGATAGTTGTTCTAGCTACTGGTTGATTTTAATCCAAATTACAAATTGGGCTACCAGAAAATTATTCAAAATTCATTTTGTTTAAAACAATTTCTATGCTTTATTAAAACGTTTCAGAGAAGTTTCAGACAAGAAACTCTGAATCGTATGAAACTATTCGAATATTAATGTTTGAGTATATGAACATGAATGGACAGTTAGACCGAGAGAATGATAAAGTGAGGAACAGCTGAAAAATTAATTGTACAGTAGGTGATTTAGAGACAGAAGTATATTATTGATCAATAGAAAAACTTACGTTTCTGATGAGGAATCCGAAACGAGTTATAAATAATAATTATTATGGTAGGAAAAACATATGCAGTCAAACACAATTTTAATTACAGCTGTTTATTAAACATTAAGTTTGTTCAGTGCAAGCGACACAGTTTCGATACGGAAATAAGATATCATTAGTTTACTGTCATGTCATCTTTTTTGATCGAATTTAGCTATCTAACGATTCAACAGAGTTTGTTTTGAATTTCGCGCAAAGTTACACGAGGGTTATCTGCGCTAGCCGTCCCTAATGTAGCAGTGAAATACCAGAGGGAAGGCAGCTAGTCATCACCACCTACCATCAACTTTTGGGCTACTCTTTTACCAACGAATAGTGGGATTGACCGTCACATTTTAACGCCCCCACGGCTGAAAGAGTGAGCATGTTTGATGTGACTGGGATTCGAACCCGCGACCCTCAGATTGCGAGTCGAGTACCCTAACCATGCCGGGCCAATTCGATAGAGAGACAGCTAATCAGATAAGATAGACAGAAGAATAGGTGGGCTGATAAAATAAACAGGTAGACAAGCAAATAGTTGAACATCATGAAGAAAAACAGAGAGAAAATGATTAATAAATAGAAACACAGATTGACATTTAATGATATCTATATACAAATAGAAATATACGTTGAAGGGGCTTGGCACGGCCTGGTGGTTAGGGCACTCAACTCATAAATATAAGTTGAAGGGGCTTGGCACGGCCTGGTGATTAGGG